GTCTGGCGCGGGCCAGGGGGTCCGTGCAGACCCAGGTCCCCAAAGTTTGCCTTTGAATGAAAAAAGGTGCTGTTTTTCTTTTCTGGTCATTGTTCATCTTAAGGATATTTGTGTTTTGTTCCCATCCTTTTAAATATGATACCAATGGTTTGTGGTTTAAGTACAAAGAAAAAAGTAACCAAAGACTTCCCAATGCTGCTTGTAGCTTGCTAGCAAATGTCAGCGGACCCATTGCGAAATGTGAAAAAGGAAGGAAAAACCTCCCAGTAAGTCTAGAACTCGGAGTAAAAGGGGGAGCAGGGAATGTGGCTGATTCATTCCCTTCCCCGGCCAGTGTGTTAGGGGGCGACTCCCAAAACTGCGCCCCTCCCCTACCTGCCGCGGGGCCTGGGCGAGTCACTCAGCCCCTCATCAGTGTCCTGCTCTGTGAGAGGGGATGGCTGGGCACCCGCCCCTCCCGGCAGCTGTGAGGGTTCGAGGGGTGACTCAGATGCAGCAGGCAGAGCAGGGCCGGCACGGGGACCCGGAGTTGTGGCCGCTGTCATCACTCTCTTCTGAGAGGAGGCCCCGGCTCAGGTCAGGCCGAGGGGCTGCCAGGGCCGGGCCCGGGCTCCTGACTGCAGTGCAGGGCGAGATGCGGGGTAAACTCCATGAAAAGCTTTGGTAACATTTAAGTGCCCCTTTGTCACTTGTAAACACTTCCGACGCAGTGTGATGTTCCTCAGACATGGGGTTTATGGTACCCTAACACCTTCTTTGCATTTTCTTTTTAAAAAGTTAAGTAATGTTTACATTTCCCTAATTGTGAAAGTCATATACCTTGTAGAACGGTGGGAAAATGCAGAAAAGACAAAGAGAATAAATATTACTGGCAATTCTTCCCCCTGGAGGTAGCTGTTGCCATAACATCTTGGAGGTATTTCCGCTTTCAGCCTACGCAGGGGTGTTCAAGTGCTTGTGTGAGCATGTGTGTGCGCCCATAAGTGTGCAAGTGTGTGTGCGTAAGTGCATGCATGCGTGTGTGGGTGTGCATGTTCGATTACGCATATGCATCTGTGTGTGGGCACATGTATGTGCATGTGTGCGTGCATGCATGTGTATGTGTGTGAGCATATTGGGTCAAACAGCCCAGCAGTCTTGCAATTTACTTTTAAGTGACATCATCACATATATTAACGTTCTTTTGTAACAATGGACTGTTGTGTACTTGCTCCACAATTTATCCGCAGATTCCTTGGTATTACTAGTATATATGTAGAACAAACACCTTTAAGGAATCTGATTTTAAAACGTAAAAAATGTACAGGCTCAGAACTGCAGCGATGGACGGAAGTGGAGAGGTTATATGTTCTAACTCTCTAATTTCACAACTGGGAAACTGAGTCACCTAGGAGAAGGAGACCTGCCCATGGTCACACAGGGAATTTCGAAGGGGTTCTGGTCCCATAAACTCTGCACTGGTAGAGCTGGACCGAAATCTGGGTTTAAAGTAAAAGACAGTGATACCGAGTATGCATACATAGGCATATTCAGTGTATTATATACAGTATATTGCAATATCTGGATTACAGTTATAGAACTTTAAACATAGGCATGTATGTATGTGTACTTGTGGGTGTGGCCACACACACACACACACACACACACACACACACACACACACGTGCGCGCGTGCGCATATGCAGTTCCCTAACTCCTAGTTAATGGTGTGGAGCCTGCCCTCTGAGGTTGGGCCTGGAGGAATGTGGCCACAGGACAAGGCAGTCCTGTGTGTCGGCATCAAGGCCGCAGGGACCTGGGCTGGGCTGGCGCGGGAGGGCTGGCAGGGAGCCTGCGGTGACCGGGCTGAGGGTGTGTCCCGTGGGCATCACAGCGACGCATCTCCCTTTCTGCAGGAGCTGTGTGTGATGTACCTGCCCCGGCTGTACCTGGACATCCACGTAAGAGGGGTCCCCCTGCCGGGGGAGTGGGGGGGGCGGTTAGATCAGAGAAGAAGGTCCCTCTGGCTCCTGGCTTCTCCCACGAGACACCCCCTATTGTCCACTCCCAGAACTACTGCGTGCTGGCCAAGCTGCGGGACTTCGTAGCCTCGCCCCACTGCTGGCGAGTGGCCCCGGTGGACGCCCTGAAGGATAAAGTGCGGAAACTCTACACCATCATGAACTCCTTCTGCAGGAGGGTGAGTGACGTCATGGAAGCTCTTGGTCTAGTGTTGTCAGCAGAGACATCTAGAGGAGGAGGGTGGGCCCTGGCCGGTGTGGCTCAGTGGATAGAGCGTTGGCCTGGGGACTGAAGGGTCCCGGGTTCGATTCCCAGTCAGGACACCATGCCCAGGTTTTGGGCTCGATCCCCAGTGGGGAACGTGCAGGAGGCAGCCAATCAATTATTCTCTCTCATCATTGATGCTTCTATCTCTCTCTCCTTCTCCCTTCCTCTCTAAAATCATAAAAATATTTTTTTTTTAAAAAAAAGAGAAGAGGAGGGCTGGGAGGGGAGGGCACCAGGAGGAGGTAAAATTTACTGAGTGCTTCCTGTTCACAAAGCCCTCCCACAACCATCGTTGCCCTTGGTAAGTGATGGGGACCAGGACAAGCCCCCGGCCTCCAGCAGCCCCACGTGGATGTGGGAACAGCACCCAGGACCCCGCGCTAACCCTGTAAGACACACTCTGCTGGGAGCTGAACAGGGCAGGTGGGGAGAGGGCTGTGGAGTTCCCAAACCCCGGAGCCCCCTCCCGGGGTCAGAGGCATGCGCTGTGACAGGGAGAAGGGGCTCAGGTGTGCGCTGTGACAGGGAGAAAAGGGAGGAGACAGAAGAGGCAGGGACTGGCCCCGCCGAGATGCGGAAAGCATGGCCTTTGTGTGGTCCGAGGGGCACAGGCTTCGGCCCAGACAGCCCTGAGCTCTTGTCTGCACCACCTCCTTCCCAGATGGGCGCACCCCTCACCTCTCTGAGCCAGTTTCCTATTAGTGCCCTGGGAACAGGACAGCGATCGTCCGCGGACCACGTGAGGCGGACACTGACCACACCCTGACCGTGTGCCTGCACTGCGGCAACTCCCTGGGCCTAAGAACCGGGAGGGGCCTAAGCGTGGCGTTCCCAGCCGCAGGCTGGCCCCGAGCAAGTCCCGGGAAGCTAATAATTAGCAGTTAGGTTATAGTTTATGCATTTCCTGCCCACGCCCGTTTCCCCCTCATTCCCCTGTGGTGG